GGAAGTGCCCCACCCACATTGGGTGAGTTCAGACCTTCTTTATTCAGTCCACTGATTCTATTGCCAATCTCTTCTGGAAACACCCTCACAGAAATACACAAAAATAATGCTTTACCAGCTATGTGGGTATCCCTTAATCCAATCAGGTTGACACCTAAAATTAACCATCACAAATGCTTTCACTTAATATAGAATTCTAAGTTAACAATTTTTTTCTTTTGCCAGTTTAATTTTTATCATGATTCCTTTGTTATGTAATATGTATTGACTTTTTATAGATGTCCTCATTTTTACTGTCAGCAATTGAAAATCATGTGCCTAAGTATGTTTTTTGTATGTGTTTATTTTGCTTGGAGTTCATTGAGCTTTATCAAGTTTGATAATGTTTTAGCCATTATTTTGTTAAATATTTTTCTACCCCCATTATTTCCTCTGAGACTCCAATTGTACTTATATTAGAGTACCTGATATTATCTAAGTCATTTAAGATGTATTTATTTTATTCCCCCAGATGTNATTAGAGTACCTGATATTATCTAAGTCATTTAAGATGTATTTATTTTATTCCCCCAGATGTTTCTCTATTCTTCAGATTGGATTGTTTCTTTAGTCCTTCTTTCAAGTCTACTAATCTTTACTTCTGAAGTATTTATTCTGCTGTTATGCCCATTCAATGAATTTTTTATTTATTATATTACACTTTCAGAATTTCTTCTTTTTTATAGTCTTCATCTCTCTCCTCAGATTCTCTTACTGTTCACTCATTATATCTATCTCTTTTTTAATGCTTAACCATATTTATAATAACAAAGTTCTTGTCTGCTAATTCCACCACATATATTATTTTGGGGTCTGTTTTAATAATTGACTGATTTTTCTCCTGCTTTTGGATCACATTTTCCTGTTTCTTCTCGTATCTAGTAATTTTTCACTGGATGCTGGACATTGTGAATTTTACATTGTTGTGTATTGTATTTTGTTGTCTTCCTTTACTGAGTGTTGAACTTTTGATATATCAAGCAGTTAATTTATGGGTGCATTAGCTTGATCCTTTCAAGACTTGAATTTGAGTTTTGTTAGTTTGTCTAGAGTAGCTCTGTTCCCAAGGCATGGTCTTTATGGTATCTCAATGGAAGGCCTGGGGTGTTAAGGGAGGTTTCTCCATCCTAGCTGGTCATAATCCCTATATCTCCCAGTAATGCTTTGTATCAAAAACTCCATTAATCTCTCACCTCTTTAATAGCCATTTCTTGTGAAGCCTTCAGAAGTCTTTCACCTCATGAACAATTTTGAATTTGGTCAAAGACTTAATGTAACTTGTAAGCAGAATTCTGGAGTTTCTTTTCTGAGCAGTGCCCTCCTATTTTATTTCTTGACATGCATATTCTAGCCACATCAGAAGCCCTGAACTCCAATTTCTGTCTCTGCTCCTCAGTGAGACATTGTGCTCTGCTTGTGTTCCGTCATCCTGCATTATAGTCCAGAAAGTGCCTCCAGGCAGAAAATCTGGATACGGGGAGGAATTAACAAGGGACTCTTTTCAGTATAACTGTAGCACTCCTTCTCTTTGCCTTTTTAAAACATGTACTTACATTCCTTTGAGAAATAAAATAAAATAGGAAGGTTAAATAACTTGTCCTAGGCAGATCCTGGATTTGAACTAAAAATTGCTTATTGTCAAAACTTTTGTTCTTACCCCTGCCCCAGACTTTACCCTGCTCATGCCTGGGTCTGGCGTGGATCTGTGGCCTGAGAACTTCAATAAATGCCCTGAGATTTCGTTGGCTTCTGTTAAAATTGCTTATTGTCAAAACTTTTGTTCTTACCCCTGCCCCAGACTTTACCCTGCTCATGCTTGGGTCTGGCGTGGATCTGTGGCCTGAGAACTTCAATAAATGCCCTGAGATTTCGTTGGCTTCTGTCTGGGAGCTGTCAGATTTCATGGAAACCAGACAGGAAGGTGGGAACACTGCAGCTTTGGGGCCTGTGGTCTGCAAGCTCCATGAACCACCTGGGCAGGAGGGTCAATGCCCATGTCCATGGTCTGTTCATTAGTATACAGTTTGTGCCTAAGGAGCAACTGGCATCTGCCAGACCAGGAAGGCTGCGGCTAGTAGAACTGAGCCTTTCTTCCTAATGGATAGTACAGACTTCTGAGCTGGGCCTAGTCTGTCTCTAGTTTTTCCAGTTACCGAGGTGCCTCTGAACTTCATTGGGCAGTAGCAGGATGGGCAGTAGGTACATGGTCAGTCTTTTCTAGGGCAAATGCTGACAGCCACTCCAGGGCATCCATGTGGGTGCAGGGTCCTCCATAGATGGCAGATATAGGAAGGGTGGTCTCCTGACCACCTGTGTGCTGTGTCCCTACAGCCTGCTCAGACATGGGGATGCATGTTTCCTGCCAGAGGAGTGCCCATGCACTTGGAAGGGGAAGGAGTATTTCCCTGGAGACCAGGTGATGTCTCCCTGCCATTCCTGGTAAGTGAGGTCCCCAAGCAGACTCTGCTTTTTGCTGGGAGGGTCATGGATATGGGGTGCATGATCATGAGTATACTCTAGCATTCCCCTTCCACCATGTTTGTATTCATGTTGCATGTTTGTGTGTTGTGTGCTGTATAGAGGTTTGTGTACATATACAAGGGTATACATATAAAGGAATATTTTGGAGTATTTTTTGTGTTTACATGAATATGAATTTGTTCAGACATGTATATGAATGTGTGTACATGCATATGTCACCATGACATTGTGTGCATATTTATATGAATATATAGGTATGGGTGAAAATCCAAAATACATAGACTGCATGTGTGAATGTGCATGTATATAGATGCATATGAAAAGGCAGGCATTTATAAACTGAATATGTTAGTGAATACATACAATTAGGAATTTGTGTATGTATGCAGGGGTTTGTATATATTTGTGTGCATATGCATCCATTTAGTTTGTGTGCACATGTCTGTGCAAAGTGCACAGACATGTGTGCATTGGGTATACACATTTGTATTCACATGTGAATGAACATATATGTATAAGTGTGTGTTTGTGTTTGCCTGTGAATATGTGCATGCTTATATATAAAAATGAGTGTATATATGAGTATGTTTGTATGTTCAGTGATGTAAGTATACGTATGTGGGAGTTTGTGCACCTGGACTGGGCTAGTTCTGCAGCACCTGCTCTGAGCAAAGCAGCAGGGGTAGGCAGTGGGCAGAGACTCGGCCTCCTGATGGAGAGAGTGCTGGGGGAAGGAATGAGAAATGATAAAGTAGTGCCATCATGTTGGAGAGCAAACTTGGTCACTGTTCTAATATTGAGAACCAGCCAGAGATAGCCTGATATGAGCAGAAAGCCCTGGCACTGGGCAGAGGAGCTGAGAGAGGTTCCATTTTGGGGACCCATTCACTTAGCTAGAGCATGACCCCCAACCCCTGTCCCATTCTGGGGTTGAAACTGTCCTGTTTTTCTGGCCCAGAGGATGGCCATGGCATTTCTTTCCATGTTAGCATCAGGGTCACAGTCAAGCCCATCCGCTCTAAGGCTGGTTTCCCCAGACACATCAGAGTGTATCTATAGGGCCAGAGCCTTGGCTGTCTGACCCCAGAAGTCCCTGGGTATAATGTCAGGACACAGAGCTCTGCATAGGCTGTATACTGAAGTGTTGCAGGATTTTATGACTATGGCGGGCCATAGCTGTCCAGGAGTGCCAGGTGCCCATGGCAAGCAATCAGGGCTGGCTGGCCTGGATCCACCCAGGTGCTCAGGCCCGG